AAATTCTTATCCAAATAAGAAAAAAAACCCTACTTAAATATGACTAGACAATTCCCATCAGAGGAAAACTCAAATATGTCTGGACACCAAAATATCACACTGTTATAAATCTGAGTTACTCAAGAGTATATTTATTTAATGATGGTATATATATATATATATACACATATATATATATATATATATATATACACACATACATGCATACATGTAAATTATCCTGAAACATTTCACACATTCAAAACAGGACAGAGAATAAGTGCTTCCACCCATTATGAAAAAAAACAAATTTTAAAATGTGGTGTATTTCAGGTATTTATTTATTATGTATCTATTGTGTGCCAGTACTTAGGCTTGACCTCAGGACTTCTTGTTCTTACTTGCTTTTTTATTAAAGGTGTTGTCCTGCCACTTGAGCCATATTTCTACTTCCGGCTTTTTTGCCACTGAATTGAAGAATCTTATGGCTTTTTCTGTTAGGGCTGGCTCTGAACCCCATCCCTCAGATCTCAGCTTCCTGAGTAGCTACGATTACATGTGTGAGCCACCAGGATCCCGCTTACATCATTATTATTTTTTTTAAGAAAAGGAAGTTTACTATTATAAATAATGGCTTTTAAGAAGGAAAATGCTAATATACTGGGAAATACTTTTTCTCACATTAACACAACTCCTGTCACTGTGTTTTACATGCAAATAATTTCTACCCTGTCTGTAGCTCAAATTAAATAAGCTGGACTATCTTCATGCTGTTTAAATCCTAACATAACTATTGATCCTCCCTCACACTTTTCCTACATACTCTCTATGTTCAGGGACACAGTATCTACTGTGTGCCATTAAGGGACAGTGAGTAGAAATGGCCGCACAGGTGCAAGGTTCATAGAAGCAGAAGCACTTTGATGGCATGTCAGGAAGGCATTCATTCCTAGGAATTGAAGAAAGTAGCACAACCAAGGTACCCTAAGCTGGAGAGTTTCTGGGCCCGGATCTCATTCAGCAACTCCCTTACTCTGGGAACTGTGTGAACAGTGCTCAACATATGAAATCCCACCCAATAACACACTTCATGTTCCAAATATTCTAGTTACTTCCATTAATGCTTTTACTTCCTTTCCTTGTACCTTTTGTGATGCTTATCTTGATTCTCCATCTTGACACTCACATGAAACAGAATCAATCATTATCTCTTCATGCTACCTCCAGGCCTTTACATTTTTTTAATAATTATGCGTTTGCATTACTTTAGATTTACATTTACCCAACTGATTCCTTACTAAATAGTGACACCTTAATGGCAAGTTTTATGTTTTACTTCACGTTTACCAACCTTGTAATTATTGTTTCCTATAAAAGCTAGCACTTTAAATTATTTTTCTTGAATGAATAAGTGAATGCTTCATGCATTAATGACTTCACAGAGAAATAGATGCATATGGATAAGTGAATAACTAAATGCTTTTAAATTTTTCTGAAAGATAATTTCAGTCTTCATCTGTTAAAATTGTGAACTTCAAGTTTAGATTTGATTATTTTAAAAAATTCCTTTTAGTGCAATTGTTCAATTTTGATCATCTAAATGGATTGACACCTCCTCCCCAGTATCCCATTAAACAATGCAAACAACAAATATTTCTAAGGCAGGTCATGTTAAAATCTTTCCATAAGTTCTCTCACATAGTCTTCCCCCTAACCCAATATAATAGTCACGCTAATCATCATCATTTATTAATAAATAATAAATAATACATAAATTTAAAGACCGTGTCCTTGAGGGATGAATATCTTGCACAAGGTCAGTTCAAAGTGTTGAAACTGGGTCTTAAATTCACTCTATAATTCACATGCCAAATTTATAACCACTGTGTTAATCTCTCTTCATTTATTCATTGAGGCCCAATGTCAAGTGTTGGGCCCAACAGCTGGTACTCAATAAGTGGTAATTGAGCAAATTAACTAATGAAAGTTAAGCAAAGCTCTCTTCAGACATCTATGGGAATTACTGAAATCTCCACAAAGATATCTTTAAATAGTATTTGCCTAAATAAATATATTACAAAGAGATTCTAACAGTCCAGCTGCATGGATTTCAAACATTCATTCATGCTCTAATGTGTTTATTAAATAATTATACATATACTCATGAGTGGTCCATTTTCTTCCAGACTGGAGTGAAAAATAGGACTAAGGATCTTCATTTAGATACAATTCATGGACTATAGAAATTATTCTAAATGAATGCATTTCCAATGAAACATTTTTATATTGCTCTAATCATTGTATAACAAGCCTTTTAGTTCTAACTCACCTTAAAATTCATTCAAAATGAAGTCTATCCAAATATCTTCACTATATAATGCATGAATGCATTCTACTTTTGCAGATATAGCAATAAACAAGCATGGCTACTAACTAACGTGTGAAGAAAACTAAAAAAGCAGGCCTCAATCAAGGAATACATAGGAAAGTAATAACACCAACCCTTGAAGAGGCAAAGCAGGTGTGGATGGACAGGTGGGATCCAGGCAGATAAAACAGGTGGAGCATGTGAAAGATCCAGTTAGAGGAAAAATCTTGGTGTGTTGGGGAAAATTCATTGACATCACAGGCTAAGCAGTACACAGACAAGAGCCACTAGGGAGAAAAGGAGAGCAAATCCTGCATTCTAGACAGAGGACTCTAGATGCAGGCTGGATTATGGGAGAAAAGAGGACAGGAGGCACTCTGAAGTAGGCCAGAGTACAGAGTGACTGTGAAAGGAAGAAACCCATTCTCCCATTATGTCCTGTTAGAATAACAACAGTTAGCACTGATCATCCAACACCCAGGCAGGAGGGTGGAAATACTGTTTCTATTTGACAGAGATTCTACTTTCTATCTCAGCTGCATTGAAACTGCAATTCAACACTGGTTTGATAAAGACTGAATTCTTCAGCCAAGTCTAAAACCCTTCTTGAGCATGAAAGTCTTCTTTTTATTATTCTGAACGTTATTCTTCCTAGCCTCATAGCTTTTTTTTTTAAAAAAAAGCTGAAGCCTGTTTTATTCCTTTCACGAATATGTGGAAGCTAAGTAAAATGATTGTCCATCTTTTAAGTGAAAATTTGTCAGATTCAGGAAAGTTGAAAGTTAATGAAATTCTGGTTGTTGTTAAAGCACAATTAGGGATCCTTTAGTGTTCAAAAAAAAAAAGCACCAGGGGCTCACACTTTTATATCCTTGATATTGAAGAGGATGAAGAAGGAGAAGATCATGGTTTTAGGCTTCTGGAACAGAAAAGCTGGAAAGACCTCAATCTGTATCTGGGTACAGTGGCACATAGCTGTCATTGCAAACTACCTGGGAATCTCAGATTGGGAGGATCATTGTTCCAGATTGTTGGATGCTAAAGTCTTAGAAGAATAGAAAGGAAGGTGTTATGTAGGAAGTAAGATACCAGGCACCCATACACAATTAGAGAGAAGGAAGAGGTTCTAGGTGGGGAGAAGCAATTCACAATAACTTATTATGTATTTGATGAAGGATTATAGGAAAGAAAGGCTTCAAATATTGGAGGGGTGATAAAGTGGTTTAAATATTCGTATTATCATCTACTTTAGGCTTCTGTAGACATGGGAATAACCAGTGGGTACCACAGTTCCCAGCTTCCCCCCATGAAGATAGAGTCTCATGGACTTTTCTGCTCAGGCTGGCCTAGAACTATGATCTTTCTAATTTAATCCTCCCATTATCCATGGTACCCAGCAAGGGTTGGAAATGAATAAACTATTCTTCCCAGGTTGGCTTGGCACTGTGATCTTTTCAATCTTAGCCTCCCTAGTAGTTAGCACTACAGGCATGAGCCACCGGTACCCTACTCACAGTTTTAAAAATTTGATATGGCATCTCCTTCACTGCCTCTTGAAACCAAACTTGGTCTCCATATGCAAAGGCCATAAACTGTTTGCACTCATGCTTGGATGCCTCCATGTCTGTCAAACCCAGGTTAGGGCAGAATCAACATCTCACGTCTCACAACTCAAAAATGCTAAGGATGAGGAGAACATCAAGTCTGGATTTCTCTGTCAGCAAGTGGTCCTGCTTGAATTATACACAGAGTTCAAGGAAAACTAGAGTAGACTAAGCAATCACAGCTAAGAGGTAAATACTTGAGAAAACACTGAATACAAAGGGCATTATGTTATCATACTAGGAAACAAATCAGAGAAACCAAAGGAAGGGAAGGCAGAAAGACACACTGTCTGTAAAAACTTTCCTGGATAGGAAAGAGAAAATAAAGATTTGTTTTTCAGAAACAGTCCATGTAAATGAGGGAATTGTACTATTTATAATTGAATTGTAGAGCAAGAATACAATAAAGCACTTACCTTTAGCTAAATGCTCTCAGTCTTATTAAGTCATATTTAGTTTTACTAAGTCTTACTAAAGAGTACAATTAAGATCTAATAGTTTACTTTTGTTCCCCAAGACCACAAAGTTCTTAAGCCAGACTAAAATCTGTATATTTCATCTTTTTTGTATTTTATCATTAAAAATATTAATTAAAAAATTTACAACCGAAACATAATCTATTTTCTTTCTTTGCATTCTGGTGCACAAATTATAGAAATTAGGACTTCATCTATTATAAATGAATAGACCAAATAGTTTTGGGCCTTTGTATGATCATTACGAACACAGAGTCTAATTCTTATCATAGAGTGTCCTATCAAACTTGATAAATGTAATATATTTTATCTTTGAAAAATATTGTGAACACAACTAAGCTAAGAACTTCATGGCATTCCACACACAGAAATGAGTAATGAATTTTTCAATCAACTCAATACTGTCACTACTGCTTCTGTTTGTTTAAAATCGTATCTAAGTAAATCACATGGACATATCTCGTATGATTTTTATACATCTAATAAAACATTCTATAAAAGAATGTCAAATGGAAGTTTACAAAAGTAATTATCTATTAGCAAAAAATAGCTAAAATTTATGGCAAGGCCTACCTGTATATATTTATGGATATGCCAAGAGGCTTGCTTTCCGTCATTCACAGACTCGACAGTAGTGTTAGCCAAACCAACAATATCACCTCCTGCAAACACCCATGCTTCACTGGTTTGCATAGTTTCTGGATCTACTTCTGGGAGACCCCATCTGTTAAATTTTATTGGATGCAAGGCTTCTCTGACTGGAAAAAAAAGAAAGAAAAGAAAGACAACAGAGAGTGAGTAATCTGTGTATCATAACAAGAAGTCAAAAATTAAGAAAACAAGGTGGTTAATTACTGTCCTTTTTAAAAACTATTTCCACATCATTGCAAAGTTGATATATAGAGAGGTTAGTTACAATTACTTACATAAGCCAGTGAATGAGTACATTTCTTTCTGAACCATGCCACCCTTTCCCTTGCTCTCTCCCAGTTTTTCCCTCCCATCCACACTGGCTAGTTGCATAGTTCATTTTCCACATAGTGTCTAGTGAGTCCCAATGCTGTATCTATTCACCCTTTGTCCCATTTTCTTTGTGAATCTCCTACCCTCTCAAAGACAAGCTAACAAGCGAGGCAAAAGGAAAATACAACAAAAAACAAAAACAGCAGCAACAGCAACTAAACTCTTGTTTCCATTTCTTGGAATTCATTTTTGTAAATGTTATTTTATTATGATCATATGTACATGACTATTGGATCTTTGTGATCTGCTCCTATGGAACACAGTTATTAAGCTGTTGTGATCCTCTCCTAAGAATATCCTCCTTTCATCTCACTGCATGAATGTCTAGGGACCTGCAAAACTTACCATGTTCCAGTGTATTCTTTCTTAACCATCCGTTGTGTTTCCTTGTAGATGTATAGGCACCTTCTAGTTATCACAAATGAGGGGAAACATATAAACTGTGTTTCTTTGGATCTGGCTTACTTGGCTCAATATAATTTTTTCCAAGACTTCCCATTTTTCTTACAAATGTTACAATATCATCCTTTCTCAAGGAAGACTAAAACTCCATTGTGTATATATACTACATTTTCTTCATCTACTTATTTATGAGGAGCATCTGGGTTGATTCCTATATTGTGTATGGTAAACAATGTAATGCAACACAATACAATATTATACAATACACAAGAATATAATACAATACAATGCAGAGTTTTCTCAAAAGATTAAACAGAGAGCTTGCTTATGATCCAGCAATTCCACTCCTGGGTATTTATCCAAAAAAACACAAACCATGCCACACCAATGCTACCAGTACAACCATGTTCACTGAAACTATTACTGTTCTAGAGATTGAAACAACTGTTTTAAATGAATGATAAAAATGAGAACTTATGGGGCTAGGAAAGTAGCTCAGTGGTGAGTGCTTGCTTAGCATGCATGAAGCCCTGGGTTCAATACCTCAGTAGTACATAAACAGAAAAAAACAGAAGTGACACTGTGGCTTAAGTGGTAGAGTGCTAGCCTTGAGCAAAAGAAGCTCAGGAGCAGTGCCTAGGTCCTAATTAACAAAGTGTTAACCATGAAAAGAAGTGCAAAAAAGTGACTAGCAGTCTACGACGGAGAGCAGAATAAGCTAAACTTTAGGACCAGTATACCGTGTGATTTAAGTGTAACATTTCAGGACTGACTGTGGAGCCATAACTCATTATAGAAGGAGCCATAACTTACTCTAACTTAAAAGAGAAAATAAACTACAGGAGAAATACTTGGAAACTTCCAACATAGGAATCAGAGCTGTCAAAGACATTGATGCATCAACTAGATAATAAAATAATGAGTTGTAAAAATGTTATTCTGACACCTACAACCAATTCCTTTATAAGCAAAAGGAATGATAGCATAAGCATGAACCTCAATGTACACTTCATTGTAGCTTTCTACTTAAAGAAACAGAAATAGCTGTTATAGGGCAAGTGCTGATTGTGTTTTCCCACAGGACTGTGGGCCCCATAGGAACAGAAGTGTGTTCCTGCCAGTCAGACCTCACAGGTTTTTGGATCTTAGAGCCAGTGGTCTTGATGGTTGGCTGGATGAGTGAATGAATGAATGAGTAACTAAGCAATGCTGTTATGTTGCATTTTTAATCCTCTGCTATTTTTATTTCTTATGCTATCTCACCTTTCATCAAGAGTAAAATTAAATATTCATGTAATTATTTTCTATGCAGAATAGCATTTTGAGATTTTTCTAATGTCTTTAAAGGTCACATGAAAAGAAACCTTGATCATTGCTCCTCATTGCATAACAGATCATCACTAACATCTGTGGATAGTTGATTGAGTTGCAAGAAAGTAAGTGAAGGTGGCTCACCAATTCAGGCTATCTTAAGCATGTGGACTACATCACATTGTCATTGAACGCCATAGGCTTTATACATATAGGCAAGGAATAAAATGATTGCCTTCTTAAGAAATGGCCTCATCTATCTAGAATTCTGATATAATAAAGATATAAAGGTGGCTTTTAATTGGGAGATAATTTGAAATTATTTCACTCAGAGATGAAAACCTTTTCATACACTTATCTCAATTTTCATAGGAATAGCTTTGTCAGTGAAGCAGATACTTCACTCTAACTTGAACAAGGTAGAGATTGCACCTGAGTTGCAGATATCACTGAGACCATTCCAGAGATAAGGAAAAAAGAGAGCTATCACAGTTGGCTCTGTTAATAATTTCAATTAAAACACAGACCATCTGTATTGATTTTTAATATTTAAGCTGGACTTGTCAATATCTAGCAAACAATCATTGGAAAATCGGAACCTGGGCAATGTACATGAATAGAAACAATCTGCAGAGGTCTGAAATGCTTGCTTTCAGTGGTTCTGAGCAGCTACTTCAAGAACTGCTTATCACAACTTGAACACCAAGTACGTAGGATTGAATCACCCTCAATACTGTAGTAATGTCTGTGTGAACACAGCAAATACTTGTACACTACTCATGAATTCTTATAAATATAGGAATAATTTTGATTATTTAGCCATATCTTAAAACTCCAAGTATCTAACTTGGAACTCAAATCAAGGATTCAGTTTTTTTTTAAAAAAGAAAATTAAAACCTATATACATAATTTACCAATGAGGAATTCATTTATGTAGCAGTTTCTAATGAGGAAGACCTTCATATAACCCCCATCTCCAGATTCCTGGTAGCTCTGTTACATCATGGCAGATGCATTTCACTTGGGGAAATCAGTGTAAATAAACCTCAGAGCCCTATCTGCTGCTCTGCCTTGATGGAGCATGGAAGAAAGGAATGCTTAAGTTGATGAAAAATGTATATGTACATCCACAAACCAAGTAACTACTTGCCGTTGATGCTGAAGCATTAAGTGGATATTCATAGAGGGATTGTATTTTCCCTTGTTTGTAAAATAAGGGGTGCAGGAATGTTGTATTGTGATCAGGTATCGTTTCCTTACAGATTTCTATGAGACCCCCATCATGACGGACAATGCAGCTTATGTCCAAGAGGCTCCAGAGTGGAACAGAAAAAGAACTTGTAGTAAGAGTCACCCTGCCCCCTGCAACAAAATGCTTCTTCACAGCTCATATTATTCTGCAAATGAGAACGAAATATGCTAAATGATATGGTGCCTGGAATTTTATGCAGTCTTTAAAAAGCATGAAAACATCCTTAATTCATACCAAACATTCAAGATTTATGCTAATTTTCTGTTTTAATTACTACTGTGTTCAAATGAGCTTATTTAAAAAACAAAGACACTCTGAGGTAGCTTTGTAACTAGAAATGGTTTTGAAATAGGAACTTTTAGTCAACTTAATGTGATGCACAAGATGATTTTTTCTTATATAGACTTAATTGTATTGTGACACACAGTTCTTCAATAAGCCACAGCTTAAAATCGGAGCCACCATCCCTGGGGGCCACAGCACCAGCAGATGTAGATTGCCAAGGTCAATTTAACTGATGGAGCTGTGCTGTCATATACAAAGAAGAGAAACCCACCAGCATATGACAAGTATATTTCTCAGTTTTCATAAAAAGACGTCAAGAAGGCTAGATTTGAGTATGCAGATAGAAATTAACTCTCCATCAACAATGCCACAGACATCAGAGTGCAAAAGGGTGATTAGTATTCTTCGAGGAGTTTACTGTGTGATAAGACAATGGAAGGGAAGAAAATCTTTCCACATGGTAATGAAATGATGTTTTGAACACATAGCTGCATCCATCTATGCCCTGGTTGTTTCATTTTATGTAACCTATTACCCAGTAAGACCAAAGCACAGTGAAACAAAAACGCAAGCTGTGATCATAATCTCGGCAATTCAGAGCTGAAAGCAAAAGCCTCAGCTAGTGCAAATAAATTTTAATTATAGGGAAAGGCTGTCAGAATTTTGATGAAATAAAATGGATTAAGACAGACTAGAACCAGAGCGTATCTTCAAACAAAGAATATCATTTGGATGGTATATTTTCTTTCCTCACCTCCTCCTTCAGTATTATATTACATATATTATATTTTATATATTACATAATATACTCACTATAAAGAATATATTCTATTCTATATAATAATAATAATAATAATAATGCACTGTCCCCAAACCCAATAGGAGCCATACAAAATATTCTTCCTCTTCCTTCATCAAACCCTTGAAAAGATAAACTAGATAACTTTCCAATGCCTCTTTACTTTCTCTCATTCACTTCAAACTAGTGTATTTTCTCATCTTCCTTCCACTCTTACTTTGAAAAAAACTTGGCCTGGCCCTGATCTTACACTCTGACAGCCATTCTTTTGTCTGTCTTTACCTAATTTGTCAGAGCCATTTACACTGCCTGCCTGGTTTTCTCGCCCACATATACCTTCCAGTCTGTCCATCTAAGGAAAGGATGGTGCGTCTATGGTCACTGAATTCTGTGTCCTCAGTCCTCCTCCCCTGTGCCTCTCTGTAGCACACAGTAGTTGAATCTCATTCATCACATTTGCTCTTGTTTCCTTCCTTCTCAGCTTGCAGAATGCTCTTCATGGTCCTTCTTGGGCCTCGACCTCCTCCCACTTTTTCCTCTTCCTCTTCCCTCAGTCAATCCACTGTTCATTTTCCATCAGAATTTATAGTTCTCTTGGGGCATTGAGCTTCATCTCAAAGCAAACCACCCCAAACTATTATCTTGAGTTCTTCCTCTTATTCAGGTCCTGCTGGCTATCCCACCA